TTGACTATGAAAGCTACTCCATTTCTTCTGAGGGATTCTTGCCCACAATAGTATACCTGATGGTCATCTGAATTAAATTCACCCATTCCTGTCCATTTTAGTTCACTGATTCCTAAGATGTCGATGTTCAGCCTTGTCATCTCTTGTTTGACCACATCCAGCTTGCCTTGATTCATGGATCTTACGTTCCAGGTTCCTATGGAGTATAGTTCTTTGCAGCATCGGACTTTCCTTTCACCTCCAGATACATCCGCAACTGAGTTTCCTTTCGGTTTTGACCCAGTCACTTCATTCTTTCTGGCACTACTAGTACTAGCCCTCCGCTCTTCCCCAGTAGCATATTGGACACCTTCCGACCTGAGGGGCTCATCTTCCGGCGTCATATCTTTTTGCCTTTTGGTACTGTCCATGGGGTTTTCATGGCAAAGATACTGGAATGGGTTGCCATTTCCTTCTCCAGTGGATCACGTTTTGTCAGAGCTCTCTGCTATGACCTGTCCGTCTTGGGTGGCCTTGCATGGCATAGCTCATAGCTTCATTGAGCTACGCAAGCCCCTTCGCCATGACAAGGCAGTGATCCATGAAGAGAGGGTATGACCCTAGTTGTGTACAAATCAAATATCCTATCATTGCCTGTTTTAAGCCGAGTTAGCATTCCAGGTGTTTAATGCCTGAATATTGCGCTGATTCACTCCAATCATCATCCCTTCAGAGGCAAGCGGGAACATTTGGCATCTATTACAGGTATCCTAGCAAGAAAAGAAAAGAAAAAAGTGGTAAATGTTCAACGTGAAATCATATAAGATACATACTTTCCTTAGGAAATAAGAAGGATCCTGTGGATTCCAATCTGGCATCCTCCTATTCACAGATGCACAGGGAGACACTACTGAGAAGCCTGTAAGAGGCTATGAAAGTGGTGTTCCTCCAGTACTGTTTGCACTCCAGAAACTGGTGCTCAAAGTTCTTATGCCTCTCTTCCTGGGGCTTGCAGTTATAGCTGAGGACATAATCTTATACATCTTTCGGCAGAAAAAATAGCATCCCCTTTGACTGGGGCATACTGGGAGTTGTAGGCCTTCTTTGTCAAAATTTGTACAGGATGGTGCCTTAAGAGGCATTGACTGACCAGTCTTCCATGTATTTGTCTAATATCTGTGCCTAAGCCATCACATCTTGTGATAGTAAAATCTATGGGATATGAAATAATTCTGACTGTTGCATCTACTGCCAATCAATTCCATAGTGTGGCTCTGAATTCTAAGGTTATAAGGGAGCAAATTGTTGCTATCCATTTTCCTCACACCCATTCCAATTTGCATAAACTTCCATTCTCTTTGCATCTAATGAACCTAAAGGATCTGAAATGCATTAGATTTTCCAGGTTGGGAAGATGCTGTAACCTTTTACTTAGCTTAATGCCCTTTTCTGTACCTTCTACATATCAATATGAGGTAATCAGAACACAAGTGAGCATTTTCATATGTGACTGCCTCATAGGGTTAAATAAAGGCATGATGACATGTGCTTTATTTATTTATTTATTTATTTATTTACCTACCTACCTACCTACCTACCTACCTGGTATTTCCTAACATTGAATGCCCTTTTTACTTCAGCTTCATACTAAGCAGACATTTGCTCAAGTAATCTTGCCTGGTTAGTCATATGCAGTTGAGATCCCATCTTTATACTCATCAGTTAAACAACTCCAGAGTGATTTACAATCATTTATAAAATGCAATATGTGAAGTTTTGACTTCTATACTTAATGTGCATCACTTTACAATACTTTAAATTTAATCTCATACCTTTGTTCAGCATCCTGTTCTTTTAACTAGTTACCGTGGTTATTCCATGATTACCCAGAATCCTTGGGTATGAGCATTTCTGCAAGTATACATACACAAAGTAAACATACACAATGACACTCTCAAATAACTCCAAGAGTTGGTGTGTTTGGACTTTCCTCAGCAAAAGCTATGCTACTTCTCTTCCCTGATTCTTTTGGCAGAAGCCATACTAATTCTTCTAATCTAATGTAGTTAGAATGCTCAGTGATTATAGAAGTTACAGTGTCTTGTGTGGTGTTTTTTATACAGACAGTCAAATCAACAAAAGATGTAATCCAGAACACTTAGATTTCAGCCACAGATAATTGCATTTAACTGTTGAGATCTTTTTCTGTTTGTTGCAGTTGCATTGTGATTTCCAGGAGCAGATTCCTTAGAGCATTAAATGTGTTGTCCTTGTGTAATTATATTCTGTCGGCATTTCTACAGTTAATAAAACAAATCAAAAACAATTTAACAAAGCCACTGGTAGATTGACCAGAGACAAAGGCATATAGGGTTAGTATGCCTTTAATAATTGAGAAGAAATGGGAATTCTAGCAAATACAGCTTTTTTCATTTGGCCCTAATTTTAAAAGATGTGGATCATGCTGGCATCCATGTAGAGTTGCCAGTTCTTCATAGTGGTTCCCCTGACATTGAAGGGGTAGAGTCTGACAGCTAAAGGGTGGTGACTCATCAGTCATGAGCTGAGGCTCTTAGGTTGGATAACAGAACCTGGATGTGGCTTGAAGGACACAGGTAGAACTTGATAAACATAAGGACGCAGCTAATAGCAAAACTGCCCAAGTCAGGCTTTTCCCTTTAGCTTTGCCCTCTGACTGGGAGACTTTCCTCCTTGACCTTAAGGCCCCAGGAGGCTAAATTTGAAACTTCAGATCAGACACTGAGACTTCACAATCTTTCATTTTGTTAATCAGTCCGGACCTGTACACAGAGACAGTCTCAATGACTGTCCCACAACTATAGCTCTTTTGTTACTTAAACCTGTGCATTCGTTGGAAGTACTCTAAGGGCACAATTCTTTACATATCTAGGCAGAACAAGACCTAGAATATTTGAGCACCTAGAAGAGGGAAGGGTAAAGCCCACAAAGGGTGGAGAACACCCTGAAAAATGAAACAGAAAAGGACATTGAGAGGAGGAAGGGTAAAAATGTAGCTCCATAAAAATGGAGAAGAAAAGGAATGTCTATTGGATGTGAATATTCCAAAGCAAGCTTAATAACAAATTGGATCAAATAGAAGACTATGATCCTGTCTATAATGTCTATTACATAAATAATACAGGGTTGCTTGGTTCAGAAGTCGGGCATCATGTATGCACAACTGCAGATCATACTAAAATTGAAAGCCAGTTGGTCCTGTTAATTAGCAGCAATTTTCAGAGGAGTGATAAACAGGGTTTAGAACCCACCAAGCTACAAAATCTGCAGCCTGATCAACTCCTGCCTATTGAATTGCAATCCTTAAGGAGGAGGGAGTACAACTGCCCAATGAAGTTTAATAACAAAGTATAGTGGCATTATAGAAAAGTTGGCTTGTAATTATTTCACACTTTAAAAAAGTTTCCCAGAGAGGTTTGCTTATTATTTTCTTCTGTTTCTAGGTGTGCACAGAAGGACGTCTTATCTTGGAATTTACCTTTGATGACCTTATGAGAATAAAAACATGGCACTTTACCATTAGACAATACAGAGAGTTAGTCCCTCGCAGTATTTTAGCCATGCATGTAAGTAATCAGCCAGACTTTTTTTTAAATTCCAGAACATTTTGAACATAACATCTCAAAGCCATGATTTGCTGGCCAGCAAGTATATCTTACAGTTGTGAAACATCCTAAACCATGACTTTACACTGATGTTGCATGGGGGTAGTTTTAGTTTTGTGTTACATTTTTTATATGTAATTACGTTTCATTTTTATTGTGAATTGGTTTGTGAGGGACTTTGGCATGAAAAAGCAGAATATAAATATTTATATATAAATAATTAACTGTAGGGGTATACAGTGGTACCTTGGCTCATGAACTTAATCCGTTCCACAACTCTGGTTGTGACCCAAATTGGTTGTGACCCAAGTCTCCATAAGATTAAATGTAAATAAGGTTAATCCGTTCTGGCCCCTCCGAATGTGGTTGTAAGCCAATTTTTGGTTGCAAGCCAAGTCAAATTTCCCCATAAGGTTCAATGTAAATAAGGTTAATCCATTCTGTAACCATTTTTTTAATCAAAAAAAATTGAAACAAAGTGACAAAGAACAACAAAGTAACAAAGTACTGTACAGTAGAGTGGAGAACACTAACTTAGTGGGGGGGGAGGTTATTGTTTTGAGGGAGAGTCCCCCTCCATAAGGACACTGGGGAGATCTCTTTCAGGGGTTTCCTCTCTTCTTTGTCTCTTAGCTGCAGGGTCAGTTTTGGTGAAAAATCTGTCTGTAGTCACTTGTTTTTTCTTGCACTGCATAACCCTCCGGAAATGAGAGACCACGTTATCATTCATCAGATTCAACATTCTGTTCATTACCGTTATGTTGGGGTGATGCTTCTCAAAGAAACCCTGGCACGGGCATGCTCCTGCAGGAAAGACGGGCGCAATCTTGGCCATCCCCTCACAGCAACCAGCACAATTGCAGCCATCTCCCTCCACAACCCCGAGTGGGGAGATGGCCATAATCGCAGTTGCGTTTGTACAGGGAAGACATGCGTGATCATGGCTGTGCTGTGCTGCACCCGTCTTTCCTGCAGGAGCGCGCCTGTGATCACGCATGTCTTCCCTGCACAAACATAACTGTGATCATGGCCATCTCCCCACTCGGGGGTGGGGAGATGGCTGTGTTCGTGGTAGCCACCCAATGTGGAGTTTGTGACCCAAGTCAAAATTTTCATAAAATTTTGGTTCATGACCCAATTTGGTTGTGAACCAAGGTGTTCGTGAGCTGAGGTACCACTGTATAAGCACATGACAGAAGAGCACTGAATTTACTCGGAGCTCTGACTTAGATCATAGAATAGAAGAATTGGAAGGCACCTGGAAGAGCATGGGGTCCAACCCTCTGCTGTTGCAGGCCACCAATTTACATCATCCCACTTGTACAACAGTTATTATTCCAGCCATCACCCATCCTAGTAATCCTCAGAATCAAAATGAAGCAGCCTCAATATCTGTACAGTTGACTTTCTGCTCTCTCATGCTGCAGTTCTATATACGCTTACATGGCAGTAAGTTCCATTGAGCTCCATGGGATCTATCTGACAGCTGATGAACATAGAACTGCACTATAAGTGGAGGAAATGGTTTCTGCTTCTCTTTGAGATTCTGTCGTGCTCCAGTTAGGTACTACCATGCTAATTCCGTAGCATGATGGGCCCCACTTGTTTTCTTTTGTTTGGAAATGTATTAATTAGGGGATTTTCTTGGTAATTTTTTGTTTTTTATATACCTCTTGAAGATCATGGGAATAATTCCCACATGTGGGACTGAAATCCACAATCCTCTAGTACACTGTAGTGAGCTATGATCAGAAATATACTTAGTTAAAATCTTGCCTTTAACATGAATTCACTGGGTCACTCAGGCAAGACACAGTCCTCAGTCTTATTCCTGTTCCTGCAAGATGAAGACAAGAATGATAGTCTGCTTTACATGACCAAGGGCTGCTAAGATAATGGCTATTTTAAAGTATGATAGAATAGCTTGGTATTATCATGATCAAGTACAACAGCTGGAGTAAACCGGACATTGTGTTCTCCTTCCTGCAGCAAATTTGTATCTAGTAACAAGTACCACATCTGTTATGCTTTTTATAAAGAGGCAGACTGTTTATAGATAAGATGGTCATTTAAAAATGCCCTTGAATTATAATTCTACTGTTGCACTTATTTTTCACCAATCATATGTCTCTTTGTTTTTGATCTAGGCACAAGACCCTCAGGTGCTGGAGCAGCTGTCCAAAAACATCACTCGTATGGGTCTGACTAACTTCACCCTCAACTACCTCAGGGTAAGCTTACTGTGAGTAACTTTTGAAAAGGTTATTGTCGTCACCCTCACACGTTCTTGCTCAGCCTGAAGACTATGAGCAATTTTTGGTGTGTTTACAAGCCAGGGTTTCTGTACATTGATATCCTTTCCTGTTGGGTCTTATCTTCAAAACACTCCATAAACTAGGGTCTCTTCTGACCAGGTAGATACACAGATAAGAAGTTGGAGAGAAGACTCTTGAAAACTAGGAGAGTGAAAAGAACAGCTTCACTACCAGTTACCTTTCCCTGAGAAAATACCACCTCAGTTAACAAAACAGCATTTCAGTAGATAATTGTAAAGCATAGAGAGACTATAGGCTGATAATTTCAAATCCACATTCAAAATCATGCATCACCTCCTTGATCTTCTGTCTTATTATATTATTATTCACATCAAACAAAAGGTCTGAGAATTGTCAGCCAGTACCAGGTTGCTTCCTTTACCTTTCAGCTCTGGAAGCAGCAACAGTGGTTGGGGATTCTTCAGCTAGCACCCTGGTAGTGTGTGGTTGCTAACTGGCTAGACTCCCTCACTTATCTCAGCATCCAGTGCTAAGTGCAGCCAGTTAACAGTCACACACCTTGCTGCTTCCAGTGAACAGTTTCACTGGCTGCAGCTGATTGTTAGATTATTTCATTGTATAGGCCATTGTACATGGTGCTTTACAGGGGGACAGTGAAAAGGAGGGTGCAATCTAAAGTTCAGAACAATATAAGAAAGAGAGGATGGGGTGTGAAGATGTAGCAAGGTGAGGGAGGGGCCATCCCAGCTCCTTTACTCCTTCACCATAAAATAACCATAGTATTTCCAGTCTCTTGCTCCCAAAATGAGGTCTTTTCTGGGCTCCATTTCCTTCAGCCCTCTATCTCTTAGGCATTCTTTCTGCTTTCACAGCTCTGTAAGCTGTCAGTGACATTTATGTGGAAGTTTGTCTGGAAGAATATCACAAATGATTGTGCCTGGAGCTTCACTCCACCATTCAGTAGTCTTAATACAAAGATTAATACAACTCTCTCCAAGAGAGTTGGCAGAGGCCCAGATGTATTATTTAACTGATTGTTTCATCCACTTCTTTCTTTGTTTGTTTGTTTATTTATTTGGAAAACTTATATGCTGCCCCATTCACATAAGCCTCAGGGCAGCTTCCAATCCATAAATAAATACAATCTGTAGAAATACATAAAATACTGGAGACATCCTGGCAAAAGATTTTAAAATCAATAAATAAAATCAACAGTTAAAATACCGTTTAAATAAAAAGGTCTTGGCCTGGCGCCGAAAAACAAATAACGATGGTGGCAGGCAGACCTCTCTGGGGAGCGCGTTCCATAAGTTGGGCGCCACCGCAGAGAAAGCCCTCCTCCGGGTACTCACCCTCCTAATATCTTTCATGGAGGGCTTCCGGAGAAGGGCCTTTGCCGCTGATCTCAAGGGGCAGGAAGGCACATATGGATGCAAGCGCTCCTTTAGGTAAGCAGGTCCCAAGCTGTTAAGGGCTTTGTAGGTGATAACCGCACCTTGAATTGAGCCCGGACTTCAATAGGGAGCCAGTGAAGCTGACGGAGGACTGGAGTCATGTGAGCACAACGCCCATTACAGGTAAAAACAATAAACAGTTTCAGTGAGTTCCAATTTTAAAATATCTAATAGTAACAAATACCATGTAGTCGTTCCATTAAAAACTAGGGAGAACAGATGAGTTTTTAAAAGGGGGTTAGATATACATATCTTGTAAAAGGAGGCTAGAACTCCAAGGAGCCTAGTGCCCACCAAGATTACTGATCTTCATGGGGGCAAGTGAGTATATAACAGAACCAGAATCAGCACAATCCATGGTTTAGCTTGCTGAACTAAGAAATGTTCATAAAGTGCCTGGATTTTAGACTCTAGCAAGAGCAACTCTTGCGCTTTCTGATGGAAGAAGGGTTATAAGGTGGAGAAACTATCCCAACTATGATTTGCTGAGGTCAGATGCATTAATCATGGTTTATGAGAACCATGTCAAACCATTGTCACATGCATTGTCTTGTGGCTAGTTTTTATCCATGTTCTTAGAGCTGTAAGCCTGTAGTCATTTACTTGGGTATAAACTTACTGAACATACTTCTGTTATTCAGATGAGTTGTTTTTAAATGAGGAGTTATTAACTAAAGTATTCAAATGAACATTAATCACTGTTTAAGTGTTACATCTCAACAGTGTCATACACAGGTTTGCACATAATGACAATCCAGAGTGTGGGATATGAGCTTGGTATGAGTCGTTGTTGAATCATGGGTCATCTTTACATGTGAAATTCACACTTTGAGTTGTTACCATGAACAATCCAGGAAGAAGACCCATGGTTTTTCCTGTTAACTACCCATAGTTAATTCATAGTTCAGGTTTTGCATTTAACAACAACCTACAATTAAACAGTAACTCACAATTCAACAACCACCTGTTCTCTGGGTTGTTTATTATATATAAACCAGGTCACTAAAATCATAGTGCAGTTTTCAAGAAAGCAAAACTATTGTCTTTGGGAGCTGTCCCCTAAATCTTGCAATGCCTTGGCTATAGTATTTCTATAATAAGGCAGTAGTCAGTGCTGCCATAGCACCAGCCCTGATGCTGGGCAAACATTAAATGGGAGAATTTGCTTCTGAAATTTGACATCCCTTAAGAACCAAAATTCAGTTGCACATGACTGTTTTTCCTTTACCTTGCAAACAGTAAAGACAATGGTCCAGCATTAGTTTACACTAATGCAACATCATTAGTGATATCACTGTGGCTATATTGGATGTGTTCATTTGTTCCCACTGGAGCTTGTCCCTTCAAGTGCATTCAATGTTTATTTGGGATGCTAAACATGTTCTCATGTGTAGCCTCACCATGCATATACTGAAGTGCAAATTTGGTTCCTGTGGTAAGGTTTAAAATACCCTGGTTGTGAGCTCTGTAAAATAAACCCAATGTAGCAAAATGAGCCAAAGACTTAATATATGTCACAGAATATAAACAGAAGGTATAGCAAGCAAGGAACACCTTCATCACAGCTACAAACAAGATTTTTAACTATTCTAGTTGATCACTATTCTGTCTATATGCAATTCAAGTTGCTTTGCCTTCTCATTCTCTCAGTACTATATGAGAAAATAAGCATTATAAAAAAGGATGGAAGACAAAGCCCAAACATCTTTAGCTCTAACTTTCTCTAGTTAAAGCCTGGGGTTAGATGGCAGATTCGAATCTTTCCTAATACCTGAATGGCAGCAGGAGGAGTGCAGTTTGGAGAGATGCCTAACTCTTCTCCTGTCTGCCATTTCTTCCAACTACAGCAAACACAGCCATAATGGACCATTGAGAGAGGGGATGCAGGAGAGATGCAGTCGAGGAGGCAGGGATTAAGTGCTCCCTCCTCTACCTGCAATTGCTTTCCTTTAGCTTACACTTCTTTTTTCTTCTCTGCCCTTTTTCTACTCTTGTTGGCAACCTGAGTTCCCAGATCCAGATCCAATATATAATTCTGGTCTCAGTGAAATATCCATTATCCACTGATTCCTCTTCAATATTAATATGAACTGTGAATGGATTTGACAGAAGCCTGTGTTGAAATAATGGTGAAACATGCTGAATGGCACTTTCAGAAAGCTACAGTTTTGAAAGGTGGCTAAGGGTTAGATAAAACAAAAGGAAGATCTATAGTATATATACAGGTGTGTGTGTACATAAATACAATATATGCACATATACATATGTACAAAATGATGATTTAGTGAAATGTTGAACTACATTTACATTATCCTTGACATTTACAATTTTTATATCTGCCCCTCTGGAATTTTGTAATATATTTTGTTAGAGTTGACTATGATATGTCTAAAGTATATTTTACTATCATTTTGGCAGGGTGTTTATCAAGAAAGGCAAAGTAACAGATCTTTAAATTCAAATCTTTAAATCATTTAAAAGAGCTATAGTAAAATGAGTTTGGGAGACTTTTTTGTAATTATATATTAAGTTTTTGGTCCATATGAGTCTATTGTTATCCCAATGAGCAATTCTTAGTTGCATCCAGTTGTGCAAAAAAGTCATTTAGTTTTTCAAGACTTATACAAAATATCCTCCAGTGGGCAAAACAGTTGGAAATTGTGATAACTGGTTGCATGAAGATGAAAATCAGTGACAGAGTATGAGCATTTCAGTTGATTCCAACAATTTCTTCTGAAATATCAATTGCTAGTCAGAGAATGGGTCTGTCATTCATGATATGGCAATTCTTATGTATATGGGAGAGAAGCCCTATTATTGTAATGGTCACAAGCAAACCATTCCTTGACTCAAAGGGATACCAAAAGACAGCTATAGCATTATTTTGCTGAGAAAACCGCAAAGTGTCTGGTTGTTTAGACTTTCAGATGGAGACAAAGAGGCATACACTTTTGTAAATTTGAGCATCAGATGCACAGTGAAGGAGGGCACTGGCTTGTTCTTGGATTATGTCCAAGACATGGACTAGCAGATGTATAGGCAGAGACTTGCAGGGTCACAGGAGATGAGATGATGTTGGAGCTCAGTGTGGGAGGAGGGTCAGATGGATGCCTCACATCTGGATAATGATGCTTGAATAAACTGAAGGGAATATATATGTGGCTATATAAACATGGTAGTAAAAAGTGAACCTATATGAGGATGTTTAGATCAATAGGATAATAGTGAACCACTATATGTCAACTATTTCATGGTAGAAGTTTTGAAATGAGCACTGTGTTAATTTGACATAGACAAAACCATACATTCAAAAGGAGGAACATGTTTAGATTTTTTAAGTCAGCACTTCATGTTACTTTATTTAAACATGCTGGTGCTTAAAACTGTTAATATGTTTTTAAATAAGATTTTAAACTTTGGCAAATAAATACTTCCATTTTTCTTCCGCTGTGTTTTGTTCATAATCCTTAGGAAAAATTTTTCCTGATAGCCAGAATAAAT